GGCCTCCCTGAGTGCTAGGATTACAGGCGTGAGCCACCGCACCCAGCCAAAAATATTTTTTATAAATTCATTCCACTAGGATGCTTCCCCCCAAAAAAGATGAAAAAATTTTAAAACAAAAACAGTTAAAAATTTATAATATTCTATATTTATTTTAAAATTATTTTTAAAAAATTAAATTCAATGTAATTTAAGTGCACAGTGTTTATAAATCTACAGTAGTGCACAGTAGCATCCAGTACAATAGCGAACAGTAATATTCACCCCCCACTCACTCACTAAATCACCCAGAGCAACTTCCTGTCCTGCAAGCTCCCTTCACAGTAAGTATCCTCCTATGTGTGTGTATCACTTCGTGTCTTTTATACTATGTTTTTACTGTACCTTTCCTATGTCTGGATATGTCTGTACACAAACACCTACCATGGTGTCACAGCTGCCTGCGGTACTCAGCGCAGTGACGGTGCTGTATGGGTTTGCAGCCAGACAGCAACAGCCTGCGCCAGGCAGCCTAGGAGTGCAGGGACGCTACCTTCTAGGTTTCTGTTCCCATGACGTCCACACAATGATACAATCACATAACAATGCATTTCAGCGTGTCCCCAGCATTAAGCGACACGACTGTAATTAACATCCTCAGAGACACAAAAGGAAATTGCAGCTATGAAAAAGAATCTCCTGGAACGCAATGCTACGTGCTCACCAATTCCTCTTTCATGTGGGCTCAGAGAGGACTACATTCCCCTCCTGTCCCTGGTTTGGGGTCCTGTGACTAAGTTGGGGTGTAGCCAACGGAATATGGGCAGAAAAGACAAAAGCTGGCCGGGTGCGGTGGCTCACGCCTGTAATCCTAGCACTCTGGGAGGCCGAAGCGGGAGGATGGCTCAAGGTCGGGAGTTCCAAACCAGCCTGAGCAAGAGCGAGACCCCATCTCTACTAAAAATAGAAAAAAATTAATTGACCAACTAAAAATATATATAGAAAAAATTAGCTGGGCATAGTGGCACATGCTTGTAGTCCCAGCTACGCTCACGCCTATAATCCCTCAGCACTCTGGGAGCCGAGCGGGAGGATTGCTGTGAGCTCAGGAGTTCGAGACAGAGCGTGAGCAAGAGCAGAGACCCATCTCTACTACAAATAGAAGAAATTAGCCAAACAATAAAATAGAAATTAGCTGGCTTGGTGGCACGTGCTGTAGTGCCAGCTTACTGGGGAGGCATGGAGGCAGGAGGATCGCTTGAACACAGGAGTTTGAGGTTTGCTGTGGAGCTAGGCTGACGGCCACACGTACTCTAGCCCGGGCAACAGGGTGAGACTCTGTCTCAAAAAACAAAAAAAGACAAACATGGAGTTTACTAGGTGATGAACCATACTCCATCGCTAAGGTACAGTAACCTCACGAGACAGAGAACCTATTCCCGCACAAAGGCTCATACGAGGACAGGCACGGTGCCTCACGCTGTATCCAGCCTCTGGGAAGGCTGGGGGTGGGGGATCGCTTGAGGCCAGGAGGTTAAAGACAGCTGGGCAACATAGTGAGACTTGTCTCTTACAAAAGAAAAAGAACCAGAAAATCAGCCAGGCATGGTGGTGCATGCCTATAGTCCCAGCTACTCGGGAGGCTGACGCAGGAGGAAAACCTGAGCCCAGGAGTTTGAGGCTGCAGTGAGCTGTGATGACGCCACTGCACTTCAGTCTAGTCACAGAGCGAGACCCTGTTCAAAAAAAAAAAAAAAAAAGAGACTTGTACCTGACTGTTCATAATTCATAACAGCTGAAAGATAAGTGGAAACAACCCAAGCGTCCATTAGCTGATGAGTGGATAAACCAAACGCAGCACACTCCCACAATCGGCATTATTCCAGCATAAGGGACGCGCGCTCGCCCTCCGCCTATGCCGCCGCCACCACCTGACCTCACTCGCTCTGCGCAAAGCAGCCAGTCACTCGGCACGGCGTCACCCGGCGTGACTCCTCATTCTCACTCGCAACTGTTCCACAATAGTAGCGCCGCAATCCAAGAGACAGCACCATGACTCCCGTGGTTCGCCCCCAGGCCTGGGAGGCAGGAGAGAATTCTAGGGGTAAGAGGCTTTCTTTTAGCGGCAGGTGCACATGTTCCCGCGAAGTCACGATAGCGGTGGTGCCTGCCCATGCTGAATACCTACTCACAACACCATGCCAGTTCGTCACACTCTTAAAATGTCTATCCACAATGCTGACACTTATCTTCTACGTTCATTTCGGGCTCATACCCAAAACAATCCCTCGGTGCAAAACACCATGAATCTCGCACCTCTCGTGCCTCCTGGAGAACTGGAAGCGGCCACTTGGCGACAGAGCGGAGGACGCTCCCTGCAAACGTGGCAGGCAGCCGCAGGTGGGTGGCACACCACGGGGGCGCGCCCACAGCATGGCCACGGGGGATCTGCTCGGGGAAGGTGGGCGGACGGCTGTGGGCGTGCACGCGCTGCGCCGGCCTGCGGGCACCGCACGGCCAGCAGCAGCAGCACAGCGCGCGCTGTGGGTTGCGCGCACCCTACCATCCGCTCAGCCATCGCTCCACCGTCCACGCACGAGCCAGGCCAGCGTGTCGCAGACCCCCGCAGCCATGCTGCACAGCCTCGGAGGCGGGTTCCGAGCCACCTCCCAGAGCTCCGCGTCACTCAGGTACCACGTGCACGGCACTAGAGTCACCGAACGTAGGAGGAGCCACGCCGACGGAAGAGGAGCTAACTCAGAAACAACCAACGCTCGAGGAAGCAGAGAAAGAGAAAACGGAACAAGGCTTTAGAACCAGCACGTGGTCATGCACCAAATACAACGTTTCAGCCAACGGTGGACCCCTATCTGCCGGTGGTCCCGTGAGGCCGTAATGGATTGAAAAGCTCCTATCCATGTTGTAGCCATAGTAACGTCACAGCGCAGTGCGTTACTCACCTGTTTGTGGTGGCGCTGGTGTACACAAACCAGCTGCGCTGCCAGTCTTGTAAAAGTCTGGCACGTATGTATGGCACACGGTACTTGACGATGATCATAAACCACTGTTTTACGTATTTACTATATACCTATATATAGCTATATAATAAATTTTTTTTTGAGACAGAGTCTCACTCTTATCACCTGGGCTACAGTGCCATGACATCAGCCTAGCTCACAGCAACCTCAAATTCCTAACCTCAAGTGATCCTCCCACCTTGGCCTCCCTGAGTGCTAGGATTACAGGCGTGAGCCACGCCACACCAGCAAGTGATCCTCCTGCCTCAGCCTCCCGAGTAGCTGGGACTACAGGCATGCACCACCATCCTTGGCTGATTATTTCTATATATATTATTTGGCCAATTAATTTCTTTCTATTTATAGTAGAGACGGGGTCTCGCTCTCGCTCAGGCTGGTTTCAAATTCCTGACCTCGAGCAATCCGCCCGCCTCGGCCTCCCAGAGTGCTAGGATTACAGGCGTGAGCCACCACACCCGGCCTTAAATGGACAAAGAATTTAAGGAGACATTTATCCAAGGAAGATACACAAATGGTTATTAAAGTGCATGAAAACATGCTCAACATCATTAGTCATTAGGGAAATGCAAATCAAAGCCACAATGAGGCACCACTTCATAGCCACTAAGATGGCTAGAATCAAAAAGACAGATAATCAGTTCTGGTGAGGACGGAGAGAAATTTGGATTGTCATACATTGCTAGTGGGAATGCAAACTAGTACAGCACTGTGCCAACCAATTTGGACAGCTCCTCAAAACCTAAACACGAGGCCGGGCTTGGTGGCTCACGCCTATAATCCTAGCA